TAAGTAAAACAAGTCGATGCTGATGGTTGGCGTCACGGGTTCAGTTTTGCATAGAGCTCTGAAGATATCCTGTTTATTGAATATTACTATTAGGCTGAACAGCCAGTACTCTGTCACTCGTCACGCAACTCTGCACAGGACTGCTCGCACAACTATCCGTCAGTCTGTGACACACGCAGAGCTCTGCGCCAAAACAAGTCAATTCGTTGGTTGATGTCACCGTTCAGTTTTGCTTTCACCTCTTTGCGCTCCAATGAATTGACTTGTTTTGTCAGAGCAGCAATAGCCAGCTCTGCGGGCCCCTGGTACGTTACAAAGCCTAGTAGTCACATTGAACTGGCTTAAAATCCCCGGAACTCTATACAAAACTGAACCTGTGTCGACAGCCATGACGAATTGACTTGTTTTGAGCGCAGAGCGCAAAGAGGTGAAAGCAAAACTGAACGGCGACGCCAACCAATGAATTGAGTTCATTTGGCGCAGAGCTCTCCGTGTGTCCAAGGAAAGCTCCTTGGTGTGTCACAGACTGACTGACGGAGAGTTGAGCGAGCAGTCCTGTGCAGAGTTGCGTGACGAAGTCTTTATTTGTGACAGAGTACTGGCTGTTCAGCCTAATAGTAATATTCAATAAACAGGATATCTTCAGAGCTCTATACAAAACTGAACCCGTGACGCCAACCATCAGCATCAACGTGTTTTGTACTTATAGCTTTAATCACAAGGGTCTAACCAAAAATAAGCGGTGACGCCAACCAACGAAATGATTTGTTTCGGCGCAGAGCTATTGACTGCAAGCTTGAAACCGACTGAACCCGACCTGTCAGAGCAGCAATAGCCAGCTCTGCGGTACCCTGGTACGTTACAAAGCCTAGTAGTCACATTGAACTGGCTTAAAATCCCCAGAGGTCTATACAAAACTGAACCTGTGGCGCCAGCCATTACGAATTGACTTGTTTTGAGCGCAGAGCGCAAAGAGGTGAAAGTACATGTAAAACTGAACGGCGACGCCAACCAACGAATTGACTTCTTTAGGCGCAGAGCTCTGCGGGGGTATCGCGGAGCTCCTCCATGGAGGTTGCTCGTGCAGCCCCTATTGCATGTTCAAGGTACCCTTATACCGAATGTCATATCATTTGGTTGTAATACCAGGGCTCAGGATCCAAAAATCCATTTTTTGTCAAAAAATGCCCAAAAAAACCTTCATAAAAATTTTTCAAAGGCATGTTTCAAAAAAATGAAAAAAACGTCTGGGGGTATTTGCCCACTCTACCTCCATGCCAAATTTCAGGTCATTTGGCTGAATGATGGCGGAGTTGAATCCCTTTGACTGTTTGGCAGGAGGAGAAGAAGGAGAAGGAGGAGGAGAAACATGAGGGAACACAATATATTTCATCCATACCATGGTATGGACTGAAATATAAAAAGCGTACAGCTATTACTGCACACACCATACTCATGAAGGTTTGAAGAAAATGTACAGCCGATTTCACCTTTCAATGTAGGGTAGGTTTGTAAAAGGTAAGTGTGATGACAGGTACACAATGTAAATAGTATACATTTGTACATGTACCATATATCACTGATGACTCCTCTAACTAACCTCAGTCAACAGATCTGGTCGAACATTCAGGTTTGACAGAGCATCCAAAACTGCAACCATTAATTGTCTGTCATTCAACTTGTCTCTGGAAGGAAAAAGACAAATCATATTATAATGTTAATATACATGTATACTAAAAAGTACTTGGCTTGCTAAAGTTACTGCGGGACATTTCCAGATACCAATAAAACGTTGAAATCTGTTTGAATTTTAAAACAAAGGTTTCTCCAAGAGGAAGTGTAATATTTCACCATAAGACGTTGCTTGTTTATTCAAATAATATACAACAAGCAATCTGAGATTCAAACCTAAGGAGGTATTTAACACATGATCACATTGACTGATGAAAATTTTAGATATCACATTAACAGCAAGGTTAACAGTAATGCTACAAGAAAGAAATACATTGGGTGATATCACAATTATAATTCACAATACAGGAAAACTCCTCTCCCTTCTTGAAAGTAGTGTGGTATAGTGCCATCAGCTGTTGTGTAACAAATAGGTCAACGACCCCTTTGGACACTTTGCACACTTAACTGCATTCTTTAAAAACCTGTGTTTTTATCAGGGCCAGACACCCCTATGTTGAATCCCAATTACAATCTGATTGGGAAATTCCGACAGATTTCGGCATAGTCTTTCACAACAGTCCAAACCATTAGCTGTAACCACCGCCTGTCACAAGGGGTGTCCAGAGGGTGTCACAAATAGTTTATTTGGACATTCAGAAACACTGATACAATTTTTAAAAAGCCATCCGCATCATCTGGACCCCAATAGCTAAGAACCTAACAAATCTGTGCAACCTACCATGGAGTGACAGCTGTGAACACGCGACTATTTAAGTCTCTTTCCACAGGTAATCAAAGTAGATACAAGAAATCTGAGATTCCAAACCTACTGCAAGTATGTTCATGATAAATGTAAATATAAATAAATGTAAATATTAATATTTGAACCAAATGCCAATTTGTATATAGCCTAACTCTTTATGTGAAAAGTATGTAATTCAGCCACTTTATTTGGCTGCGATGTACTTTTTAAGGATCATGTTGATGTTGATCAAATAAACCAGTCATTCATTCATTCATTCATTCATGATAGCTGAGAATTCCAGACTATTACATGTATTTTCAGGTTTTACAAAAACCTCTTAATAATACATAGCCAAAGATTGGCTCCAAATATGACTGGAAATCTCTGATTTTTATATTTTTCATTGACTACGAGTAAAACAAAACTATGTTTCACAATCTTTTTTTCAAATTCTGATTTGAAGTACTAGTAGTTAACAAATATGTGAAAAAATGACATCTTCAACAGGGAAAACTTTTTAAATCTTGAAAACACATGTCTCATGCAGGGAAACCGAACTATTCCCGTACTTGAGCTGTGAGGCCAGGTTGTTGTGTTCCGTGTCCTCAATGACCTCAGGCAGGCAGGAGATGATGTCCCGCTGTATGTCCAATGTGGTGATGCCCAGCATCTCTAACATCTTGCTACAAAGAAGCTGGGGAACACATCACAATTATCATATCAACAATTAATGCTATACAATGTACTGTTGAGACCACATCAGGGAACAACAGCCAGCCTCATATGGGACATGCCTCCTCGTGCACATTACAAGACAACATTGTACCGCGAGTAACATATAAAAACCTGACAATTATTCTTGATCTGACCTGAACTTGCCAAGTGTCATGACATACACGTGATATACTCAGGCTCAAAATACCCATGTGCAACATGCAAATGCAGGTGATTTTCAAGATTTGCACGTAAAAATATTTTGAATTTTGCACGTAGAAAATACCGATATCTCATGTTTGCACTGCTGATCTCCAACATTTCATGCTGCGTTGGCATCACGCTGGGCGCACAGCAGCAATAGTGCAATTGTTTTCCAAAATGAATATCCTGGGAACGAGCTGCTCTCGTCCTCGGGTCAATTCATTCAGCTGACATGAAGGCATTACATACATTGTAGCTAAACAAGACTTCCATGACCTCATATCTTCACCAAATGATGTTAACCATTCCGACTGACAAAAATTATATTTCTAATTGATTATGAAAATAAAATCCTCATTTCATTTCCATCATGGATTATACAAGTAGTATTGATCATAATAATTATTCTCGATTCAATGACAGCCTTATTGTAACAGAAGGCTATTCTAGCATGCACTTCCTCATAAATTTAGGGGAGGGCCTAGGAAAATTTTTTTACGCTACCCCCGGACGATGGGCCCCTCCCTCCCCGGTAAATATCGTACAGTCCCTTATGCAAATGAGGTTATGATTTGAATGAATTATATGTTTATTGAGGTCATCTTCACTTAACTTCCAAATGTGGCAAGTATGAACTGCCTGGCAGTTACCACTATGAAATTACATAAATTTTCCATTATTTATGCTAATTATAGGTATTCATTTAGTGTTCCATCACAAGTGTTCCATACATGTAGGCCTACTATGGAATACAGCAGATTTATAGAAATTCCTCATTCATTATGCAAATCATGAATATGCTTCTTGAGTTATCTTGCTAAATCACACACAAACAAACGCTACTGAAAACTTAACCTTCTTGGCAGAGTTAATATTCCAATTATGGCAAGACAGGCGCAACTTGTGTGTGATGCGGGACAAAGTCCTTCAGCCGGGGGATTTGGCTCTTTCATTTAATGTTTGGTGCTATTCAGAAAAATGATGTTTTCGGATTTCCCAGCATTCATGAAAAGTTCCAGAAGAGAATTTTTTGAGAAGTTGGTAGCATGTTTTTTGCGAGCCCACAGCCCCCTACCACAGTATCACAGCCCCCTACCACAGTATCACAGCCCCCTACCACAGTATCACAGCCCCTACCACAGTATCACAGCCCCCTACCACAGTATCACAGCCCCCTACCACAGTATCACAGCCCCCTACCGCATGTACAGTATCTGTGGTGAATATAAGGAAGACACCACCGCTTCATCGTCGAGTAGGGGAGAGCGTTGCCACAGTCTGAGGCAAAAATTAGCCGTACGTTATTTTTTCTGAGCAGCATTTATTTATTTAATTTATATATCTTGCGCGATAATCAAGGTAAACAAGTATGCAAAATAAATATAACTTATTGCTCTCAGACAGGTGCCAACTGTAGTGTTTGCGAGTGGGAGGGGCGGGGGAGTCAAGTGACTAAATATTGCATAATTTTGCATATAAATTTTTCAAATTGCCAACTTTTTGCCAACTTTCAAGTTTCCACATACAATGTAGCTGAAAAGATATTTCAATCCCCATCTACATGTACAATGTTAACTGCATAGTTACTCTGCATTGTCAACAAAAATCCAAAACCTGACTGAGTATAGAAACAATTTTATATGTACAATGTACATTTCTAATTCAACCATTTGTCTCCAAATGTCAAGCAATAGTTTTGGACTTGCAAACTAACACAGACACAGTGGAGACAAACATCCCTCCAAGCCTACAAATTCTTTTCAGGAAAGCATGTGCATGCATTAAAATATACGATCACCACTGATGCAAAGTGCTGATTTAAGTTGGACTTTGAGTACCAATTTTGATCATGTCAAAGCCAACAAAATAAACCATTCATGATGAAGAAAATTAACCTGTTCTCCAACTCAAAACGAAATTAACTCACCAGAAATTTTTGACTGAATCGCTGTCTTCATCAGCTTTATGATCCAAGTGCTGTGGACACGTGACTTTTAGCCACGTGTGACGTCAGCACTGGGTCAAAGTTCGTCGGTACCCCCTCCTGTCTCACTCAACCATGACGGGGGGCGGTGCCGACTTCCGACGAACTTTGACCCAGTGCTGACGTCACATGTGGCTACAGGTCACGTGTCCACAGCAATTGGGTCATAAAGCTGATGACGACTGAGCGATTCAGTCGAAAATTTCTGGTGATTGTTGTTAATCGTTTTTGAGTTGGAGAACAGTTCAATTTTTGTCAGGTATTTTACCAACTCAGTTGAACTTTCATGCTAGTAAACCATTCTTGATTTCCCTTGCCAAGAAGGTTATGTTTTCGTTGGCGTTCGTGTGTCTGTGTGTGTGTAAACAAGATAACTCAAGAAGGCTAAGATAAATTGTCTTCGTATTTAGTAGGTGTGTAGGTCTTGATGAGAACTCAAAATGATTAGATTTTGGACCCCCTGGCAGCTTGTTATGGTACTGCAGCAGAACTTCCAGTTTTGATATCTCGTGATCTGGACATGGTAGGGTCACGAAACTTGGATGGTAGGTAGCTCTTGGGCTAGGGAAGATGTGATGTAAGTTTGGGCCCCTAGCACTTGTTCTTGAACTACTGCAGAAGCATTTGTTGAAAAATATTCGAAGGAGGATAACTCAAGGACCAATTGACGGATCATGATTTTTGGTATGTGGGTAGCTTAAGTGATGCTTGACATATTGAAATGTTCATATCTAATTTGCATAATTAATGAGGAAATTCTATAAATCTGCTACCTTCCATGATTGTGGCATGTGTAATTGTTAACAAGAACATTGGCAGATATAGGTTATGCAAATAAAGGCCTAATTTGCATAATCAATTAATGCGAAAGAAGCTGTAATTCCATAGCAACTGCAGGGAATCTTATACTTCTGGCATTTTGAAGGCGAACATCACTAAAAATAACATTCAAATCAGGCCCTCATTTGCATAATTTATGAAGAAATTCTAGATTACCCATTTTTCATAAGACTGTCATTAGGTGAATAATAAATCAATTATAATTCATGTAAATGGGGATCTTCAAATCTTGTTTTCATCATCAATGAAAAGCATTTATAATTTGTCAACATTCATCAAGGCCCAAGGGCAACATCATTTGGCAAAGGTATGAGGTCGTGGAACTCTACTTTTTCAAAGTGTTCTTTGTTCTTTAATCTCCATACCTTACTGTCAACAATCCTGTCCAGCCAGCGGAACTGGTTCAGTATGAGTCGGGGGATCTGGGCAGCTGCATTACTGTCAATCACCTGGCTGGAGGTAACGAAAAACCCAATGGACAGACTATTGTTCACTATTCAAGTTCATGCATTTTACAAATGTACCTTCATGTTCACAAGATATGCAAAAATGTGAAAAAAAGGGGAACAGGTCCATCATATTTCAGACTGTATTGTGTGTGTGTGTGTGTGTGTGTGTGTGTGTGTGATACAGTTGTACATCAATGTGTACAGAAAGAGATGAACTCACTCATCATCACCCATGAATTCTGGAAGCTTTTCCAGCAGAACAATCATGACCTTGGGCTGCACAAAGACAAAAATATTCTGATTGTTGAAACTTATGACAACAAAAATCATCATCAATCCTCAAACATTGTAGCACAAATAGTGGTGTGTACAGGTTTGCTTGAACTAGTTCCTGACTTGTAAAATGTTAAGGTTCAAGTAAAAAAAACCTGAACATCTGGAACTAGTTCCGGACTTCCCGAAAAGAAATTATGTCACAATCCCCTATTGTTCTAAACCACCTGAAATATTCAATAGTCAAAAATTTGCACTGCAAAATTAAGAAAACATTGCCATTGGGCATCGTCAAATGTCGGCCTCCGTAAATTATGTGGCCACTGCTTTGCCCAGATGTGCCCCACAAGCAACATAATATCTTGCTTCTAAACCCTGGTAGTGCAGTGTTTGCTACAAAATTTGGCAGTAAAGCTGCCCCATTTTCCATTGGGAAATGTTACCTGAGAAGTCGCTTCCATATTTTGTATATGCCCTGAACCTAAACCTGTGGACTTCAATCCGGACCTGGGCCTAAATGTGCTTTAGGTACACAGAACTAAGCATAAACCTTTATTAGTCACATGGATACATGTACCGGTACATGTATGTTGTTATGAAAAATTTACCTATAGGGTCAGGGAATTCGAAGTGCAACCCTCTGCTGTTCAGAGATCTTTCTAATCGCAAGCACATGATTTTTACGAACTCTGATTGGTAAGTTTGATATTCGATAAGGCTTCCCCGCACTTTTTCGAAATATGAGCCTAAGCCTGAAGCGGGCGAGCTCAAAGGGTCAACATGGAACATCTAAAACTACAAAGGTTGACCCAATGCTCAAACTACCCATCTGCAAACCGTGATTTTTAGGAAAAAACTGAAATTGGCAGAGATTTGCAGGCTAGAAAATTTTCGAAAAATTTGGCACCCTTGTAATAATAGAAGAAAATATATTTATCTCTGGCACTAATCATGACATTGGAATGTACTTATCACAGTCCATAATTCAGGACAATCATGTACATGTAACGTTACCTGAATTATCTCCACTCCCAGGAGAAGTCTCATTAAACAGTCCTGGTTTCCTCCACGGCAACTACAGAACACAGGACAGGAACCAGAGTAAAATAAATAAAATTGTTATTCACTGTATAGAATTTAAACAATCTATTAACAATGACACTCTTCATCAGTAAAGATGAATTTTCTTCACTGGCAAAGAGTATCAGATACACATTCAAAACATCTGTCAATAAATTTTTTTTCAATTTTCAATTTTATCCAGTTGTAAAGTCTGAATCACAATTTCATTTATCTATTACCACTAGATGACTTATCTTAACAAACATATTAGTAAAAATAGAGGGGATCAGCTTCAAGCCCCGAAGCTCGAAAACAGAATGTCCAAACCAGAAACAAACAAGGTACAGAAGATTATTATAAAGGTTGATCTGGGAAAATCAGATTGAAAAAGAGAAGAAACATTTCAAGCAATTATGGTTTTCTTCACATCGGGTGTTCATAGTCAGGAATGAGTTGTGTGTCATTGAGGGGAATGCACTCTTAATTATGCTGGTCTGAAGTGCTGTGATAAATTGTGTTTGACTGACTTTGAAACGTAGTCATTTATAAGACCATTAAGAATTTTGACGTGATAGAACAATTCAATTCCTAACCTTTCCTCACATGCTGCTGCTGGCACTGTGGCCAATAGGCTGCAACTGAATCTGCAAGGAAAACATCATGAATTATGCAATGTTCCTATCATAAATTAACTACATGTACTGTACACAACGTACATGCAAGTACAAATTGACGAACTGCATTCTGAAGCATACAGGCAGAAAGTAAGTAAGCCCTAGTCCAAGCCAATGTTATAGAAAACCACAACATAAGATTTTGGGACACCTGGCAGCTTGATAGTGTACTGTAGCTGAAATGGTTTTGATCATGATCTGGACTTGCTAGGGTAACAAATTTTGGTTGGTAATGACGAGAATTTGGACAACCTAGCAGCTTGTTCTCGAACTGCATGAGCATTTGTTGACAATATTTGAAGGTGGATAACTCAAGAACCAGTTGACGGATCATCATGATTTTTTGTATGTAGGTAGGTAGCTTAAATGATGCTCGATATAATCAAAATTACGTAAGTCTGGATCTAATTTGATGGCTGAAACACTGATGGCTGGATTAACAGTGATAATATTGTTTCATGTACATGTATACCTAAGAAAGACTGTAAGGTGAAAAACTTAAAGTGCAGACTAGGACACTCTGCCCTCTGCACATCTTACGCAATTTATTACTTATCAAGGAAGGGGAGGAGGGGAGGGGCTCGAAACTAATGGTGGTCTGATGGCCACTGACCATTAAAATTTAGCCCGGGACAACTAAAAAATCATTTTGGGACACTTTTGGGACAATCACAATAGCAAAATAATCAACATCAGAATCAATGTGGCGCTGCAATAATCAGTGGCGCTGCACCACCTTGTTCTTATCTCACCCCCCCCCCTGTTGCTTTTCAAAATTAGGGATTTATTCCACTATGTCCCTGATAAATTTGCTCGTCAGTCCCCTTTTCTTAGGCCGAGCAGCATGAATTGAGCCGCTATAATCGCATGGATTCATAATATTGTCTGCACAATCTTGTGAGTTGTCGATGAGTTGTCGATCTCGCTAAGACACAACAAAGAAAACGTTGTCATTAGGCCACACCAATTTCATTTCTTGGTTAACGGATTTGCCTGCTTCAATTTTTTTCTGATTTGCAAAAAAAAATTTCAGAATCAACTGCAAAATGCTCATATTTTGCCCTGGACAGTTGAAAACAGTCCTTTTCTTCCTAGTTCTTACAGTTATTCCATCTTTCAATGCAATGGTATCGACATTAAAAGTTCAAAATTCATTGTTTAAATTTTGAACCAGCCTGGTGTGTTGCCTTCATGGCTCCTATCGTACCATTTTTGGCCATAATAGGATGCCTACGCCTGTTTTTTACTCCGTGAAGGAGGTCAGGACCTCCGGACGGAGTGTTGTGAAGAGCTGATTTTTCATGTTTGCAGTCAAAACACTGCGAACAATCTCTTTGTGTAATCGGCGCGCAATTTTATACGCCGTCTGCGGGCATGTCCGTGTTGATGCACGAATGTGTATTTTTGCCGTTGCTGCTTTCGCAGTCAATGTAATATTGCAGATGCACCCCTACAATTACGAGGCGAATTGGAATGGTCCAGAAAAACGCGTTGTTTGGAATAGCAGTGGGGGGGTGGAACTTCATGCAGATACGGGGTGGTTTTTAAAAGTGGTTCCAGATGTTTTTGCCCATGCTTAAGAGATGGCAAGTTTTTTGGAAGATGTTCGCAGCCAAAACGCATTCTTCCGTACGTCGCATTTCTGTGTAATTTCGCATGTGGCGTGGCATTATGTCGCACGTCTTTTTATTTTTACCGTAGCTGTTTTGATATTGGAGTAAATGCTTATTTTCGAAACATCCCCATGTTTGAAATGTTTTCGCCCGTTTATGTGACCGGTAGTACTTAGTAAGTGGCGGTCAGGCTGATGGGGACGGAAATGTGGGGTGGTCAGAGGTCAACATTACGAAATGTAAATACCGATGACGTAATCCTATCGATTTCAAACTGGTCGGCTGTGGCGACCTAGTGGCGGCGTGTATTTAGTCACGTAGCAACCGGCCTGTCGTCCTAGCAACGAGCATGCTTGCCGCTTCTCTGTACACATGGCCAATATTTTTGGGTTGGGCCGCTCCATAGTGTTAGTGGAGCAGCTCTTTGTAAACATGGACAATATTTTTGAGCAACCCATCAATGTGTTCTGCCTCGTGGTCGGATGTGGTCTGGGGCTGGTAAACCGCACATACTAGTAGATCGGGTAATTTTATGATTTGCTAGTTGTAAAGGCGTCTTGTAGTATGAGCCGGTATGTGAAGAAGTAGCCTGTGTTACACAATCATGCTTTCGGCCGGATTGATGTGCAACTGTTACTAATTACAGGGACTGCGCTAATGCCGACTGGTTGCTTGGCCAGTCGCGCTGTCCTGATACACCGCGAATGTTGGGCAATATGCGAGTGTTCCCTGTAGACAGTCCCGGGAGTCATTTTTTCGCACATTCGCACATTCCAGGAGCCAAACCAAAATACGTTCATGAACCGAGTCCAAAAAACCGAAACATGAAAATCGGATGATCGGACCTGATGTACATTTCTCTTTTTGTAGATTGTACACACAATACACACATCTTTAGATAATCTGGCCATGGCAGGTAAAAAAAAGTAAGTCTGAATCATACTAGATTAGCGTAAATGCATGTTTATGCGTTCAAAACAAGAAAAGAAATTGTTTCCCGGTATTAATCTCTTGAAACACGGCGCTGAATATTGACGCAAAAATATTTCGGGCATCGCACGCCCTTCCCGTTGTTAGACTGTATGCAAATCCCGCGTTACGTGTCGGCATTTCGCATCTCTGATTGGTTGTTGCGTCTTAAGATGACTGAGCCGACGCGCGTTTAAACAATTTTTCTTTGTTCGATTTATCACACTTCACAGAGAATTGTCGCCAATGGCTACTTCTTTTTGTTGCAATATATAATACTTCACGGAGAATTGTCACCTATGGCTTCTTGTTTTGTTTTTTTTTCGCCCGCCTGCTCCA